ATATTGTACTTTACTATTATTATTTGAATTTAAATTTGATGTCTAATTTGAAAACCTCTCACCTTCAACCCAAGCTTTTGCTTATAGGAGGTCAGCAAACTTACAACTGTATTTATATAATTAAAAATGTGTTGGGAATTGTTTGCAAATAAAATAAAATTGTTATTATATTATTATTGTTAACGCGCTCGAAATTCTAATGCTGCGGGCCGACCAGAACGATAAACATACTAGCTGGCTAGTAACACACACCGTTGTCTGGGAGATTTTCTCGGAGATCGGTCTATGTGTTGAAATATTCTTATTTAGCTCATTACCAATAAATTCTCGATCGAATCCTAAAGTACACGCAAAAATTATTTTCGTTATTCAAAACATATATTAAAGTATGGCAACTAACAACTGCGACATCGACCGCGCCGCGGTAAACGTGTTATTAATGGAAATGTTGGAGGATATTATTACGGACAAAATAGAAGGAGCTCTTGCCGATAAGACGGAAGAATATCTCGTTCGTCTGGTCGCGCCCATCCTGTCTGCCATTGATACGGTCACCACCGCTGGTGACGTTCAGACCCTGGAGTCGGAGTCCGGAGACTCGACTCTCGGAGGTGCAGCGGGAGAGGCGTCGGCAGCTGAAGGCGTCGAGATGACCGTCTCCTCGCACGGTGGAGGAATGCCGAGCGGCGACCAAGACACGACTGTACGGGAAGACGGCAAGGCGCCTCCAAAGAGGTGGAAGAGCCTGAGGCGCTTTTTCCGCGGCCTTTGCTGCTTCTGCCGCCGATAAGGAGACGTCCGAAGCTCGCACCCCCCCCCCCCTGGGCGAAGACGGCGGACAGGAAGACGGCGACGGAATGGAGGGGAGGATGCGGGAAAGAGCACGGACGGTGCGCGGCGGTAAGTCACCCGCGCACGTTCTCCGACCTGCACCCGCGGCGCGACGGGTTAGCTGGCGTGGCGAGCTCGGTCGTCGATGACGCGCGAGACACTCTGGCGGCTCGGCGAGCGCCCAACCGCAGTCACGCGGAGCGACGGCGACGGTGGACGGCGACGGCACGGCGGCTAGTATAGAGGTACCGGGCAACGATTCCGCCTCGACGGTACACCGACTCGGTGCGACGGCGATGGCGACTCGGTACGACGGCAGCGGCGGATACCTGGGCACGGGGTGAGTGGTGCGGAGATTCGCGTGCTAGGAACACGGGGACGTCAGCGGCGCCGGACTCGCAGAAACTTAACCGTTTCAGGGGCTGGCGGCGCGCGGCGGCCGAAGGGACGACGCCAGGGCGAAAATTACCGAGAGTCGAGGATCACGCTGTGGTCCGCTGGCTCTCGCCTTTTCGCCCCGCGATAATCCCACGTCGGCCACTTCGGTCGTCCCCACCGGTTCCGCAGCACAGAATCTCACTTCGCTCGCTCCGCGTCTTGGTTTTCGCCGTCCGTCGGCCGAGTCGTCACGCCGTCGACCGTCGGTACGCGCAAGACATCGCGCACTAGCCGCCGTCCGTCGCCTTCAACCTTGGTCGCTCCCGTGGCCGTCTCGGTCTGGCCTCGCCGGCTGGGCAAGGTCGTCAAGCGTCCGAGCAAACGTGCCAGGAACACTCGTCAACCCGCGGGGACAGGTCGGAGAACGTGCAGAGGTGACCAGTGGCCAGCAACACTGCATTTCTGCACCAATCGCCATCTCGCATCCTCCCCCCCTTGTTTATTGTGTCTATCCTGTCCGTCGTAGTATTTTTTTTTCTTTAAACTTAAGTCATTTCAAAATTCTAAATTGTTAAATTGTTGTTCACACATTTAAATTTCGGTTTTTTTTTCTAATTTGCGGCCTTTTCTACTATAATAAACATATTTTGTGAACACAAGAAAATATTGTTTCTTTTTTTCGTTTTGTTGAGTGTATATTATACACTGTACATTATGATAAAAGTTCAATAAAATTTTTTTTTATAATTTATAAATTAGAAACTAGAAAGACACATTCACTCTTTATGTGATTTACATATTAATTAAAAAAAAAAAAATGGATTAACTTTTTTTAAACTGAGTTAAGTTAATATTTTTTTTCTATATTAAATTTTAACTTATCGAGTTAAATTTATAATTTGTTAACTGCTAACTTTTAACTTACCTATCAATCTTGTGTCCTCTTAACTTAACTTAAGTTAATTATTTTCATTAACTTGCCCACATTTGTCAAATTCAAAATTCATCTTCTGTACTCTGTAGCTACCATAATAAATGTACGTAAATGTTTTAAAAATACTTATTACTTAATATTTTATCTTAATAAGCACGTTATTGCTAAATATGTAGTGTATTATTATCAGTAATCAAGTGTTTTAAAGTCACCAAGCTAAGTTCAGTTTATATTAGTATTTTCTATGCATGATAAAATTTTCAAAATATTTTGATTTTTTTTAACCGTTTACGGACATTAGAAATTTTCGTTTTTTTTCGTTTTTTTTTTTTCTATGAATGTCAAAAAATTTTTTTGTTGGGTAAAAAAGCTTGGAAATTTAATACAAGGCTCTTAATATATTGTTACAATAATGACATATGAAAAATATTAAAAATCCATATTCACCTTTTTTATTATAGGCATATTAATAAGTTCAAATCTAGACCATATACATAAAAATCACAAAAATTTGTAAATTATTTTGAGTTAAGAATTCATAAAAATTTTTCTTTTTAAATCAAAGATTTTAAAATGTAATACAAGATTCCTTATAAGGTTATCTACCTTAATCAAATTAAATTTTATGAGCGTTTGAAGTTCATATTTTTACAAGATGGATATTCACTCGTTTTTTCATGTAGCGATTTTGTTAATTTGTTGCAATTTAAAAACGAATAACTATAGATGCATGAAAATTTCACTGAATGTTTTTATTATTAAAAGAATAACGATTTTATTTATTTTGTAGTACCTAATTTTATAGCATTAATTCAACTTCCCGGTTTCCGTATTAATAATAAATAAAATATAAAATATCCACAATGACAAACCGTCTCCGCTCAGAATTGTTGTCGTATACAATGGTATTATATCATTGAATTCAAATTTAATGCCATCCATTATACAGTGACCCACTTGTAACCTCCTACTGTACAGCAGAGCGACATCCACTTACCCACTTTTTTTTTTTATATACTTAGCTTTTTATTTTTACAAGGAGTTTGGCGGAGTGTTTTTGTTGGGATATATATTTATATCTATTTATACCTATCTTTATACGTCCTTTCCCCTTTAGATCCAAGACATGTACATATGTAGACATGTAGCTATAACCGTAGAACTTGAAAAGGGGAGTTCCAGGAATATTACTACCAAATAGGTTCCGTGTGGGGTTAGAGGAAATTACTATTCAGAGAATTTGAGTTTAATGAATCTTGATTTTACTCGAAGGTACAATTATACACTCCGGTATACAAGCCGATGTATATATATTTTATTGATCAAATTTATTTCCTGAAATTTCATTTGAATTTTAGCTTTTAGAAGCAGGCAGCAATTCAAAATAATATGACCTTCTAAAATAATTATTTTACGGCTGGAGTTTTAATAAGAGGATACACAATACTATAAGTTATAACTATACGACAATAGTATAATAACCTAAACTAGCAATGTAGCTAACATAAGTGGTAAATAAGAATTCTATAATATCTATAGGCACCTACTAGGTTTATAAAATTACAAGACAGGGAACATCACTTACTTTTTAGGTTTATAAACATAAGTTAGTACTTAGTAGTAATACTTAACTCATTAGGCTCAACTAAGGTTAAAATACTGGGAACTACAGCCCACCTTTCGAAATTATTAATTTAAACAACCCATAGGCGACTTATATCAGCTATACCAATTAGGAATATTTTATGGAGGGGGGCTAAATCGTAGTCAGGGGTATCCCCCCGTAGTTGCGTCATTGAATATAGGTATTAATTTAATGGTTTAATAAACAAATAATTGTATAACAGTTCCAATCAATTATGAGTATTTAATATTATAAACTTATACTAGCCAATATTACAAAATATGTACCAAAATATAAAGGTTACCAAATGTTTTTTAAATTGTATAATATACAAACATTCAGCTATATAGTTTCTTGCTTTGTATTAAAATAAGTTTAGAAAACGGGATTTTAGCACGCTTGCAGTGAGATCTCCTTCATTGTTTTAAAACAACGGACCAGGCAACATTTTTTAAATTAAAAAACGATAAGAATACCAAACAGTTTATTTGAATAATTTTGAAACTTTCCTAATTACAACTTTTTATGTATAGTTTTGTAACTGGTGAGTGGTGATTGGTGAATATTGAATTGTATTACTCATGTACAAATGTTTGTTTAGTTATAAATAAACACGTTTTTAATAACTGTTGGGGACGTTTATAGCTCACAATGACTAATGAATTAAAGAGAATTATTAAAACTAAAATATTCAACAAAAAAATAAAAAAGTAAAATTATAATAATAATAACATCAGACAAAAATAAATCATAACAAAAATTAAAAATACTCCAATACTTGTTTTTATAGGTAGGCACTTATAAAGAAGTTAAAAATGATGAACACTTATAATATATAATTTATAAATACAATTGTTTTCGGAGGCAGGTAAATTCAATATAATATAATAAGGTTTTCTCACTTTATAGACATATATTTTATCATTAATATTTTTAAATCAATAAATGTGTAGTTAGCTTTATACATAATGTTATTGATGAAATTAATATATTACAATTAGGTAGTATTTATAATTAAAAATACTAAATATTTAATCTCAAAAAAGAAAAAAATATAATTTTACCTAAACATAATGGCATTTTAAATGGTTTGTAAAAAATAATTTTCAATTTGGTATCCTACAAGTTTCAATACAAATAAAATGTTTAATTTTAACGATAAATATTATACTATACGTACCTACATTTTATATTTCAATATTTACCTATGCTTATATTTTTGTTCTGTGTACACTATAAATATGTTTTAAATGTATCTGAAACACCTTCTTTAGTTAATAGAACCTTGCCCCAAGGAGTTAAATCATAGCCTCTCTCTGTATACAAAAAGGGTCCAAATATTACTCTCCCCAAATTACTTTCGTTTCTTTTTAAAAATCCTTTTTCTTTTAAACCAATTACTACATAGCCATTTGCGGTGGAATTTAAATCTAATCGTATAGCAGCTTTATATTCGTATGTTGCCTTGGGGTCATTTTTTGTGTTGGGCACTGATGGTGATTGATATTCCTTGATGCGTTTGCCCTTGCTAAAATATGCTATTTTCACAAAAGTTCTGGATTTTTCTAAACAAATATATTATTTCATTATTCTAAAAATATATTAGAGAACATTTTATTAAGTAAATTACAGGTTTTAAATCATGCAATATATTATATAATACTTAATAGTTAAAATAGGTAGGTATATTATTATTTTACTAACCGTGGGGCAGATTTAAATTGTTAGCTTCATGGACCACTATATGCAAAGTTTCTTGTTGTTTTTTATAACTTAAACTGATATTGATATTGCAAAGATTTATATCGGGCTGTAGACAAACAATTATAGGTACATACATATATAAATAAAATGTCAACAAATATTTGTACCACACTAGTTATTATTAGACATTATATTATTATAAAACCTATTATTTTATTCAACATTTAAACTCTTACCCAAGAATGTTTGTAAAGTTTAACACTTTGCGCGCCGTCGTTACTTGGTGATATATTATCTAAATAAAATAAAGCATGACCAACTGCATCATACTTTCCTTGAAATTCATGATCAAAAACAGATATCCTAAATAAATTATGGCATCATTAAAATATACACAAAACCTTCTCAATCAAATCTTATTTACCTCAAAACTTTGTTTGTAATACACTTGGTACTAATAAAGAAATCTTCATTTACAACGGGGCTCATAGCAGCAGCAATAGTTTTACTAGTTTTTGTAGATTTTTCCTGAGGCAAAAGCGTAAGTTTTAAAACTGTCTTATATGGTCGTTTATCTTTTCCTTTTGGCGCTAATCCATCCAAATTTTCCACACGAACAAACAGTCTTTAAAAAAAAAAAGTTTTCAATTATAGCTGTTTTATTATTACATAATAAATAATAAATACAGTGGATTCCGCTTAATGTGGGTACGTTGGGATCAGCCCTGTTTGCCCACATTAAGTGGTTGCCCATTAAAACCGAAATTAGTTAAAACAAAACATTTTTATTGGGACCAGACATGTTTGTCCACAATAAACGGATCCCAGTTTAACCGGTGGCCACATTTAGGGGAATTCACTGTATTTTTAAATAATATTATTTAAAAATATAAAGTTAATAATTAATAAACATATTGCCTTAAAATAATTGAATGCCCCTTAATGCCTAATACCTTTTTCTTTTATACGAATACAATAATATATCATACACTTCGTGTCTTTATATTTAAGATATATATGTATATACACAACAGGCCCACAAAAGAAGTAGGTAAAATAATTAGATATTATAACTGCCATTGCGAAAATTGGGTACAAAGTACTACAAACCAAAACTCTAGACACAATATATAGTGATGGAACGAATTAGAAGCTTGGGCAGAGAGAAACAAAATTACTTAAATTAAAAATAATAAACTTCCTCCATTAATAATAATATAGTAGTGATGGGAAGGTGTACAGCTTCCAGACAACATTTTTGCGGACAAATCCCTTCAAGCCCGTAGCCCTAACGATTTTAGTTAATTTGTTGTAATTCAAAAAATTTAATTGTAGGGACTTGAAACTTTTCACCAATACTAACATTAATATTTTCTGTATGCAATGAAATGTCCAAAATATTTGGACTTATTCTAAGCTTTTTATACCGTACCTATTTACTTCATTATACGGTACAATAATCTTATTTTGAATTATAAGTTAATAACAATAATACCACATATAAGTATGGCACATGATATTATAATCTTGTTATATTAACAAATAATAAAATAATAAGTTCTTGGCAAAATGTAATTCAATCTACTGTATTACTAATTGAAAAATAAATTGCTTATATTTTTATAAATAAATTATAAAATATTCTTAGAAATATAAAAGCTGACACCACGGTCTCCGCTCGGGATCTTAGTTTGCATACAGAGAGTAAATCATTGGATTTAAATTTAACACATCCATTACAGTGACCTATTTAATGACGTAGGTAGTACACTTGAAACCTAAACTTACCAGTTACCAGTATAATATGCTATACACATAGGCGTGCGCACGGGAGGGGCAGGGTGGGCAGCTGCCCCTCCTGCGGGCTCAAGTTTTCTTACAAAATAACAAAGTTTTTAAAAAAATATTATAATACAGTTTTATATAATGAATATTATGTAAACATTGAGTGCTCGATGTACAGTGCACGATGATTTTATGTTGTCCAACTTTAAGCGAACCACAAGCGATACCGCGGTGATAACGAGTGCTTATAATCTTATTATAGCATGATGTAGATTGAGATGTGATGAGACATGAAAGTGAGTAGTAATTTGACGGCATTTAATGCGAAAAACGTTCACCGGAAGCGCTAAGAAGGTCGGTTCTTTAAATAATTAGTAATTAATAATTATAATAATTAGTATGCAGTATACGAACAAATATTATAGCTCTTTACTTCCGAAGCAATTTTCGGAATTTTTAGTATTTTAGTATTTTTATGCTCAACGTGTTGATTAAATCAGAATATACCTATCTTTTTTTTAATGTGGTGTTTTATATTGAAATTAATTTTCTATTTATACTGTAACCTACAAATCAAATTGTTTATTATATACCTAATACTATTAAATACCTATAAAGTATAATTTATAAAACAGTTTAAATAATAGGTTACATGCCTACAATAATGTATAAATTTCAATATTACCAAAGAATAGAATATTATTGATACATTAATGCATGATATAATAGTGGTACTATTTTTGGAAAAATCATGTAAATGCAATACTAAGGATTTAAATTTTTTTTTAAATGTTGATATTTATAATATGTTCAACGTGTTGGTGCAAATAATAATTTACCTATCTTACTTACTTTTTTTGTAATTGTAAATAAAAAGTAAGTAGAATTAGTAAATTCAGATTTCACCAACACATCGGGCATAAAAATATATATGAATGCAGTGGCGGATCCAGGGCTTAATTTTGGGAGGGGCATGGGGGGGCTCAAAAGTATATGAAAGTTCCAAAATTGGCTAAACACAGTGTAAAACAAAGGAAAACTACGGTTATTGGGGGGGGGCAAATGCCCCCTTTGCCATCCCCCTGGATCCACCACTGTATGAATGTAATAATTTTCTTTGTTCATGTATATTAATATAATATAAAAAAACTTTGGAGTTTCAATTACTATATTAAATTTGTAGTTATTTGTAGTTTTAATGATACATAAAATGAAAATACTTCCATCACTTACATTAATTGAACTAATAACCAAAATAATATTTACTTACCTATATATTATATAATATACCTATAGGTACATTATTACATTCTGCCCCCCTGCCAGCAAGGTCTGCGCACGCCTATGGCTATACAACAGAGTGACTTCTCCGGTTTTATTTAGTACCTACGACCTACCTAATAACTTTGCAGCCTGCTGCATGTATAAAGGGTATATAAAGTAAGGTTATTCATATTTTATTGACAATATTACTTTTTTGTATGTTGATCATATGTAATTTTAAAATTAACGTTCCCATAAGCTTGTTCTTGGTGTGCATTAGGATCAACCGGAGGCGCATTGTCTACTGGTGTTTTCCAAGTATTCGAAACCACCTCACTAGATTTTGATCTTATTGATGTCAATCTACTAGTGACATTAATCATAGATGTTGCAACTGATCCAAAACGATGAGGACGTGCAGTTGAACTTGATGTATTGTCGTCGGCACTTTTTGACGATAATGCAAAACTATCGGAGTCTGTAGTTGAGGTCATATCCTAAGATTAGAAATCAATGAACTGTTATTAGTTAATTTGTTTTTAATAGAAAGAGAAAACTCCCTTTTTACCTGCATACTCTGAGATTTAAGCCAACCTGTAGTTTCTTTACATGACGCAGGAGAAAGATAATCCATCTTATCCTCTTTCTTGGAAAATTCTTTTTTACCAGATGTTATACTCTTAAAAAAATAATAACGATAAAAACGCACAAACAGTAGTTTGAACGTCAATATCTAAACAATTTTCTATATTCTTGTACAGGTTATTCTTGAGTTTTTCGTTAAAAATATTCAGCTTTTACACTTTAAACATATTATCGTCTTATATATAGGTATTCGATATATTTTAATGATCAATTTTTTACAGCGACAATAAAGTATTTAAAAAAAAATTCTATACTCGATTTGAAAACCTATATACCATAGTCAACCCTATGCACTTCAAGGAAATCCTTGTTGAAGATTAAAAATTAATAATTATGATATATTATTATAATATTTGCAGCTTATAGCAATAATCATGCCTAATATCATTGTGGCTTAATTAACATGTTTTTAAATGTTCGGCCATGCTTTATATAATAATATATATGTAATCTTCTATATTATTTTATAAATTACATGCACATTCAAATAAATATATTTAAAAGAATTCAATAAAAAATTAACAGTGTATTTTTTAAGTTTTCAAGAATGTATACTACACATTTTACCGGGTATAATATTTTAAGTATTTTAATACCTAACTCACCAAGTCTGGCGTGGAAGTAGAACCAGCTCCCGCTGTGATAGGCTGTAACATCATCATACTGACACCAGCTAGTGTTTGGAATGAATTTGGAGTTTTTGGATCTTTGGGTTTATTCGTTGGTTTTCCCCATTTCCCTCTTTTCTTCATGGTTTGTGTTTTCGGCGGAGGGTCATCGTCTTCGCCATCGCTCGTAAAACCTGACACAGAAAGTCCATCCTCGTCGTGAGAAATATGTCGACCAAAACTGTAATATGGTGGTATTGTGGTAATAATTAATTTCATACGAGGTTATAAGTTGTATGCTCGTAGTTAATGTATTATTTAAATGTACACGAATCTATATATGCAATGTAATCGGTAAATCGTTTTCGCCATAATTTTATAAGTACCAACCTCGATATCTTTTGAACAGTGTAGTGTTCGGTACTGCCGGCAACCGAATTTCCATTTTCCAACAGTCCTAGATTGATGCCCACGTCTTCGGAACGACGACCGAAACCAAAATAAAATAAACAGCATCGGTAACAACTTTTGAACATTTCAGTATAATTTCACTCTGAAAAAACGAATAAACCATTGGCACTCTGGTGAAAACGTTTCGAATTCAAACCATCTGTTTGATATAATTTTGACGAACCGCAAACGTATTATAACTTGTATACCTGCAGCTAATCGAGATTAGTCTATAAACCATTTTTAAAAATATCAGTCATCACTTAATAGTTAACAAATAAAACCAACTATAATAATTTACTTTAAAAAAGTTACACGAGAGCATAAAACATTAAACAAAGAAAGAAAGAATTTGATTTTGTGTACCTCTACTGGCGAATACACTCGAAATTGACTATAGCTACCTAAAAACACTCTTGGATATACTGAAACCTCAATGTAGACAGATGTTTCGGTCAACTGTGTAAACAGTTCAGTTTAGTATATTATGCAGGCGAACATCGGTGTATTGGCCCCTATCGGCGTAAAAAAACTACACAAAAGTATACTATGTTTATCGGCATAGGAAGTACCTATCTTTTTATGGCGATTGTTTTATATTTATAACCAATCTGAACCCTGCAGTATACCAGCTATTATGTATATTTAATATTTATTTATTTTTATACACAAATAATATCTCATAGGATCGACGTGTCGCATTATCATAAAAATAATATTGTATATTGTTAAAAAAATCTATGTATTCACCTATAAAATACGTTATTTATAACTAAAATTGCTAAATATTATATTATGTGCATAATATAATGTATGATATATAATTAAAACTCTAGGCACTATACGCACAAGTCACACTCGAGGGGCCTATCATAATTTATCATCGTTGTTTTCGCATAATAATATCACATGACATTAAAAAGAGGCTCTTGAGATGCAGCTTAAAAAAAGTCAAACATGTTCTTTTGTTTGCACAGACTCTCCAGATTTTCCAGTTCTAGACCTCTATATTTCAATATATACCTACCTAGACTTTAAGGTAGAACCTTATAACAATGAGAAAAATAAAACTATTACTAATTTTATTATTTATGTACAGACTGCTAAATCTTTACATATATAATTCTACTGTACGTGTGTATGTCACTGAACTCCTAAACGGTTGAACCGATTTGAATGAAATTTGTTGTGTGTGCTTAAGTGGGTCCTTGAATGGTTTAGATTCACAATTGTACCCATTAAACCCAACCCGGGGAGGTGCTCAAACAGGGATTTTGAGATGTACGATGGAAATTGTGGATAATAAATGATTGCTATTGGTTATAGGAGAAATAATTAGTATAAATTACTAATTAGTAATTATTTATTGTTGGTGGCCATAAGTTATTCGGACAGATCAGGTACAAGAATGCATCAAATCGAAATTTCGCACATTGTCTACCAAGGTGGCTGAGTTTCACTTACAGCAGGTTACACTATTTATAACCGATTTGGCTAATTCTTTTTTTGTTGTGTTTGTTATTGTCAGGAGAAAGAAAGAAAAAATTGAGAAAGTTACGGGGTTAAAGGAAAATTACGTGGTGGTGATAAATAAACTATAAATAATAATATAATAATAATAATAATAATAATAATAATATTTTTTTGTAACCAATGGCAATGTGAATATCAAACACATGATTCAACAATGCCACGGAGTAAAATAAACTTTTTTGAATCACCGTGGAGACGGAATACGTGTTTAATCTTATCTTTTATATATATAGATAATAATAATAATTATAATGTTTTTTTGTAATCAATAGCAACCATTTAAATAAACAAAAAACAAAATGAAATAAATGTATTATAATTACACAATCACGCATTTTCTACGTGCGGCTTTGTCTTATTGTGGCGATATTCTCATTAACAATACCCATGCCACGACCAAGACGATCAAATAGGTACTTCACGACAAAGCCGTAATGCAATTAGGATTAGAATTCTAAACATTGCGAATGAAAGGACTGATGTCTGATATATATATAAATGAATGTTTGTGTGTAGATTAGACCTCTGGGAAGAAGATAGGCTAATTTAAAAAGGGTTAAATATGGTTTCTTTTTCTAATTCATCGGATTTTAGTACGGTTAGGTTAGGTAAGGAATTTGTATTAATTGATTATATTAATCCACCGTACCTAGGTGGAATTAAGTAAAAACGACAAACTTGGTATAACTTTGATACTTTAGAGTTAAACCATACACTTAGGTATACGTACCGAAGGTAAATTTTCTACCCGATATATACTGCTGAGAATAAGAATTTTTATTCCGGGCAACAGAAAAGTTAAGATAAATCTAGAACATCATACACCGAATATTAAATAAGGTATTGAACAAAGTTTGAGGGTTATAATACAGTTTGTACATTTAACGGGTAACGAAGTGATAATAAAAAGCAATAAATGAATATATAAAGAAGAACAACTAAATGGAATAGATAAATAAATAGACTACATTACATAAGACTGTAGGTCACTGTAGTATTATTTAACGACCGTAGTTTAATAGAGTGTTTGTATATTTTATAAGACGTATTGTTAATAATTTCAAATTTGCACCGGAATATCATTCAGTAATCTCAATCCCACTAGCGAAAAACATTATTATCTTTATATCCTGTAAAAATAATTTTAATATAAAAAAGCGGCTAAGTGGGTGTCACTCTGCTTTATAGTAGTTTACAAGTGGGTCACTGTAATGGATGGTGTTAAATTTGAATTAAATGTTATAAAATCATTTTATACGAAATACTATTCTGAGCAAAGATGAACTGTCGGCATATAATTTTTCTAAGTAGGTATATTTTATGATATTATTGTGATTAAAGTAATTAATTTTAGTATACTATCGGAGGTAAAAATAATTTTTGCCAAAAAAATTACATTTGAATATATCATTGTGCTTATAAAATTTAATAATATGTACTGTAAAAGTTTCATATACCCACGAATAATATTTTTAAATTACAACAAAATAACTAAAATCGTTATTCTTGGTTTTAATATGTAATTTCGTCCACATTTTAAAACATCTGTAAAAATAACTGTGTTTATATATTCATTAGATTTTTTGGTTACAGTATGAAATATATATTTATGAGAATCTTTAATTTAAATTTTCAATCTTTAGCTATACAAATTGAACATTTTATAATTTTTTAATTACAATAATTGATAATTTTCGAGATGCTGATAAATTTTGTAAACATTTGAACTTTAAATAGTTATAAAAACAAATGGATCTTTAATATATTTTATCAACTGCTATTAAAACAACTTATAAGGATCCCTGTATTACATTTTCAAGTTTTTGGACCAATTGATTAAAACTGTATTGACATTTATTAAAAAAAAAACTAAACAAATTGAAAATTTAAATTGGCTTTAAAAATAATACTAGTTTGAACTATCATGCAGTAATCAACTATGTCGGAAGAAGTTAAGTCATAAACGGAATAAATCACCTAATATTGAGGTATAATTATATGTTGTGGATTCAAATGATCAAAGTTAAAGGGGCTGGGCCATTTAAAACCGTAATAGATGACTATTACCTGTATAGGTAAGTTCATATAATATGTTATATTCATATTAATAAACAATATAGATTACTTTGGGCAGTTTGGGGTCATAGTAATGAGAAAGCGGTTCCAGGGCCGTCTGTTATTTTAAGCGTAAAAAATGTACCTACTTTAGGATGTATTGAGTTACTATAAAGTTTTACTGTTATAGGTATATTTTGTATATAGCCATATAGGTACCTACCAAATAAAGTAATGTTATATAAATTATGTGATTGTATTATTTTAAACCTGACATTTTAGCTGACAATAATGAGTAATTGAATAATGTTATATTTTTATTTTTTGTATACCTATTACCAGACTAATATTATAATAACAATGTTATAGCTGTTCAAGACTTCAAGTAATTTTAATAAATAAAACAATTTATTATACGATTTATTCATCGGTAAAATACTAAAATTTAAACTGCTCAGAATGTGACGTTGATAAATCACTGTCGAATTTTGAAACGACTGTCGTTTCTTTGATACACTCGTTCGATACACCCACTCAAAACATCAGCTCACACAATATGTGTACAAAATAACATAATATAATAATATCATATTATATTTTTACCTTATAGTGCCATAGTACTATATTATAATATAACAGTATTACTGAGTAGGTACCTATGTCAGTAAGCGTATACAAGACTGCACGTGCGACCGGTTTTTCACGGATCCTTGAAAGTTGGGTACCTACTTATTTATTTAAATCAAATAGTGGCGTTTCATATTTGTCATAATATAAATTCATAACGGTTTTCTAATGTTTCACTACCTATTATTGTTTTACATTACAAATGTCAATAATTATTCTTACGGAGTGCATTTAGATACCTATCTAATATTGCCGTATAATATTGATAAAGCTCTGTGTAGATAAATGTATATAAAATACTAGCTGACAAGACAATGCTTTGCTATTGTTAGGTCTTTGTGACTGTTCGACTCTTTTTGGGTATAATACGCTGTGGAAGCAATGTGTTTTTAAGTGTAAATGCTATTATATTTTAATTTATAGTCATCCCGAACGGCATTTTCCGTGAGATTCGATTGTGATTATGCGAACAGTATATTAGGGATAGATCGTGGTGCTTACCGCGCCACTACCATCGCGCTGGATAAATTATATCAATACGGTATAATATGTTGTGTAATTACTATTTTTTTCTTCAAGACTCGTTCAAGGCAGGTCCAGTTTACTTACAATAATTATAATATAATGCGTCAATGCGACCATACGGGTTTTATTGGTATTTAGTTTTGTGAATTATTCATATGTTCAGATTTCAACTAACTAGATAAACACAAATCCGTGTTGAATTCGAAATAATCCGGAATAACGAAAACTATTTAAAGGTCTCTCAATCATTGCAAATCGTTTTAAATATTTTAAACTGCTATATTATTTATAATTTTTATTGTAGTATATAAGTAGGGCGTAGGTATAGTCGTACATAATATAGATACCTATCAGTACCTACCTAATTCTAAAAGTATGTGTGTCGCCTAAACTTGCCTCCTTAACATAACAAATTTTAAGTTCAAAATAATTCATCAAACTTTGTTATTTTTAATATTATAGTAGGATTTTTAAATATTTTATATTTTAAACAAGTTGTGAGTATTTTAAAATTTACAATCTTAAAATTAAAATATTTAGAGGTCCCCAGACGATTGTCTGCTTTACTAGGTGTATACTATTAAAAATAAGTAATAATAACAGAGTAAAATTAATTATTCTGAAAGTAACATTTGCCATGGTATGCACTTATGCGTTAGTTAGACTTCGATAACTACACTTGAGGGTCCTCTTAAGTGGTTATGGATATACAATTTTTACCACATAATATTAAGACAACAAAAATAATATAAATGTATTAAGACATAACCATTTAACTTATTATATTAATTATTAGTACCTATGCATATATGCATTAATATTTAATACTGTATAGTATATACAATAATTGTAGGTACCTACCTATTTATATTAATATATAGCTGGTTGTATAGGTATAAGGAAACAGTTTAGTTACAGAACAATTATCAATGAAAACTAACAATCTTTTTAAAAAGCTACAAGGTTGGTGGTGGTTGTCCTCTTCACCCTCCAAAACCCCTTATAAAGACACCCCCGATGATAAGTGATGATAGTGATGACACATGCCAGTATGCCACATGATTACATTGACACCTAAAACATAATATTTTATTTATAGAGGTAAGTAAAATTTATCATAATATAGTCTTTATATTATAAAGTCATGAATCTACTTATGCTCTATTGGCTATATTATGGTATATAGGTGTACTGTATGTCTGTATACTATAATATGGATATTGCAGGACATAGGACATGCAACGTGTAATGTGTACCTAATATATGTATAAGTATAGTATTATAATGCAACTGTGCATGTGGAGAAAAAAAACTATGACTTTGTTGAGCGATAAAAATGCATATAGGTATTTACAATCTACGTGCGTTTTTTGTACACCCGTGGTATATAAAATAAAAGTAATTTACGGTTTACTTTTACATACATAATATTAAAATAAATGAATGAATAAACTGACGTGCCCTATAAATCTTTTAACATGTACGCCACTTACGTATAAAACATATTATGTGTAGGTACGTGAGATACATACCACATACGAGCTTCGAGGGTGCAGATCGTTGCTATTGCAATTTGCAGTAGGTACCTTATATAGTATAGACGGTTGAATCGTCGGCGTGACGTCCGCCGTCGCCGCTGACAAACGGCAATAAGATTTATCGCATACATAGCTTGTGCGAAATTTCGTTGTAAAAAAAAAACGAAAACATCAAGCCGATCACAAATTCCAAAAACGGACGATGCGCGACGGATTAGATGATTTTTTTTCGTATTCAAATCCACATAAAATGTACATACCTACCTATCTAAATTATAGTAGGTACCTATGGGCTATGATTTCAGTCCAGTAAATTATATTTATTATTTATTTGAATCACTGCTAGTTCAGACTCAAGAGACCAGGATGACGTGGTCCATTTTTCCTCTCTCAATTACCCAAATCAACAATGCCATTACAATTATTTTTTATTCAGTTAAGGACTTTTTAAGAGGACGTAACGGTGGTATTTGTTGTCTCCGTCTTACAAGTGCGTAACATAGCAAATTTACGCTTAACAGAACACTTGTAACTTCGTTAGTTTAGGTAAACATTAGAGTGAATTGACCTATTATGAAAATTGATGGTAAGAACATTATCTGTGTTTGTATGTTGGTTTTTACGATATTTCAATTTTTTAGCAAGTTATGCGTATATAATATATAAATTAAAAATGCTCATAACTCACTTAAAAACTGAATTATCGTAAAATCAACGGGCAAACACAGATAATGTTCTTACCATCAATTTTCATGATAGGTCAATTCGCGCTAATGTTTAAACTGACGTAGCTACAACTGTTATTTTGAGGGTAAATTTTCTATGTTACCCATTGGTAAGACGGAGACAACAAATACCAGTGTTACGTCCTATTAAGGCTGTTGACACTGTTGACAGTGGGTAGTGGTTTCGTAAATAAATTTAGACCAATAAGCGGACAAAAAAAATTTGAATTTCTTCACTTCTTGTCTGTTTTAAAGGGAAATTTTTTTTTTTTTAGTTGGTGAACCGAAAATAGATGTTAATTTCGAAAAAAAATATATTTGCCCCAATGGCGAATGCATATGAAGTATGCTTTGTATCAAATTAGATATTAAACAAAGAATAACGATTTTAGTTATTTCGTTGTACCTAATTCAAAAATATTATTATTCGTGGAGAATTGAAACTTTTGTGTAGGTATTCACCTATATAGGTACCTACCTATTATTATTATATTTTAATATTAGGTAGGTAGGTACCTATACATGGGTAAATAATGACATTTTCAAATTATTTAGGTTAATTTTCTGCTACTATACCTTTAGGTATATAATATTGTCTTTGTCTATTTTATACCATGGACCTATTCACACTCTTCTATTATATAGTAAGTCGGTTTATTGACTCTTGTTGACTTATTGAAGATTTTATGTCCATTATGCCTAAAGACAATACTACAATAGTGATTATGTATAGGTAGTGACTATTTATTAGATACGTATATTTCAGAAAACGCTCAATTTTCACCACTTATTTGGGCAGAATCGTCCTCTTCGTTGTTACGAACTACCAATGCTCATGAATCGTTTCATTCCCATTTTAAAGAACATTTTTATAAAGAAAAACCAAATATATTTATTTGAGTATGTGACTAAATATTGTGAAACAAGTTAAAACTGATATTCATTGTAAAATAAGAAGAGCATACTTCTTACAATAAAATATAAAGATTACCGAGGAAACAAACTTTAGCAATCGACAATGCAATTAGTAAATTGCAAAATGAAGAAATTTCAAATTTTTTATGTAATACAAAATGTAAAATAATTATTCATTTGTCTAATATTTCTTTTTTTTAAACAGATATTCATTAGTTGCAGAAATGTTGTATAATTATAAAATATAGGTAGGTAGGTACCTCGTACCTATAGGACATAGGTAGGTAATTAGTAATTGTTAAAAATTCATTTTTTTTATTCTTAATTCCTTGTCGGAGGAGAATATAAAAATATAGGTAGGTAATATGACATAAAAATAAATTTTTATATTTATTTTATTTGTGTTAAACATAAACGTTATTTTTATTCATAATTCCTTATTGGAGGAAAATGGTCAAGATTTATGTTTATTTTTTTCGGAAGAAAACGGTATATCATTTTTGGAGGAAAGTGGCTACAGTCCAAAATTATTATATGACATGTGCGTGCGAGATCCCTCTGTAGTCATTTTAGCTAGGTACCTACTGCTACTGCAAATATCAAATATATAATATATTACCAAGTTTGGGCATAAATGAGTTAAAAAGTTAATTTTAACTTTTTAAAATGTAATTTTCATTAACTTCGTTTTTAATTTAACTGATTTTTATTGATAAAAACTTAATGAAAAACAAGTTACATTTAATCAAAATCCAAGTTATAATTTTTAAATAATCAAATAATAAATATTATTATTTTTTATGATACATGTTGCATTTACAATCCTCGATTATCGTCAAAATATTACTCCTTCGTCGTACCAATAACGATTTACTTTGTACTATGGCTAAATTTAGATATAATTTTCCAAATAACTGATGATAGGAATAATATTAATATTAATATATTATACATGTGTAGTTAGAACAATAAATGTATAGATTTATAATTTGTTAATACAAAATGTCAATGTGTTTCGAGGTATAAGATGATAGTTAAAAATCGCAGGGCCCTGGACATGTGTCCCATTTGTCCTCCCCTAGCGCCGGCACTGGCTGAAGCGTGATTCATTTTCAGTCGAAAACATAGCTCACTACGCCCAATATAATGTTCCCATATTAATTTTGAAAGCAAATTTGAATTCGTCACTAAATGATCTATGATTTGACAATTTTATTTTTCTGATTTGTATTTGTTTTTACTTAGAAATTTACTAATAAAAGGAGTAGATGAAATAGATCATATTTATAATTTAAATTTAAAACATTGATATAGAATATGAAAAATGTACGACAGTTATAAAGGCGCTTTAAAGCATAGTAAATTTAGAGGAAAATTCAAATCTACCTTCAGTATTTAAATTGGAACATCCTACTGAGCTTAGTGATTGAAGTCACTGGCAATATTTTTTGAAAAAAAATGTTTGTAATTTTATTAAGTAATATAATGTGGTGACTTGTGCATGCTTGTAGGTAAAATTACAAACGTACATAATATTCGTGTCTTCCCACGTCGCCGAAACCCAATTTGCCGAATCCCAATTCGCCGACATCCTAGTTTGCCGACTTTCAATTCGCCGACTATTTATTTACATGTTCCCAATTTGCCGACTTATTAAAAAATAAAAGTAAATACAAATGTATCATGTATAAATGATTATTAATACATTAAGTCAGTAGATACATTATTTAATTATTATATATAAAATAAAAGTAAATATAAATTGTTCATGTATAAACGGTCAGTAGATAAAAGTAAGTATAAATTATTGTTCATATATAAATGATCAGTAGATATATTATATAAAAATAAAAGTAATTATAAATATTATTCATGTATAAAATTTGGTCAGTAGATATGTTATATATATATATATATAAAAAAGTTAATATAAATAAAAAAAGTTATAAAATTATTGTATGATTATATGATATTTTATTATATCGACATACTCTATTAAAGAGATTTCTTCTGATTTCAATCTGAAAAAAATAAAAACTAATTTTATAATAACTATTATACATGTAGAAATTAATTATTTTATAATATTTACCTATCCTTTGCATTTTTTAATCTCTCTTCAAGCTTTCGAAATTTCATTTTAGTTAGTGGTTTTAGATAACCGTTTTTCTGGGCTTGTAGATCAAGTTCAAAATTTTGTTGTTGATTTTTTATTTCAGTTATCAACACAAATATGTTCGGCTTTGGTCGACTTATACTCCGGTTTAAAGCTGCATGCCAACCTTCTAGGTGGTTAGTTGTACGTGTCCTATCGGTGTTGAAATGATTCCATATTTTCCGGTCAAACATGCATACATCACTATTCAAATATGTATCCACAAAATAGTCCATAAGTTTTATAACGTCTAAAAAAAAGTAAATATTATATAGGTATACTAATAAAATTATAATTAAATCGTTTTCAGTTACTTTCATTAACTGGTGCTTCAGCGTGAATAATTGACCAACACTCATCTATTTCATCGATAGGCACCAGAGCTAAGGCACATATTCTTCGAACCGTTTTTTTCACTTCATCATTGTGTGTATAATCGTGCACTAAACCAAGTTTTTGTACTTGTCGCCATATAGATTGCCCAAAATGAAAAAGGCATCCTTTTATTTCTATGTCATATCCAAATGAATCTCGTATAGCAACAATCATTCCTATTTCAAAATCAATTTGAAATGTTTTGGGCTTGAAAGCCAATATTATAAATATTTATCTCCTTATTTCTTTAAATGCTTTAGGTACTGGTTATGTTGGATTATTCGAAATTTCCTCCTTCATTAATTATATTTAAAAAAAACAACATTTTATTATTATAATGTAGCTTGGAACTTGATGCGCTATATATAACATATGCATGCACTTATGCACTTATAATTTATAAAATATACATCTTTTTTTTATTTTTCTTAATTTTTAATTTTTTTAATTAATACAAATATTACTTACTTTCAGTTTATTTCTAAAACCACGATTCGCTAACTCAACTCCATGTGTTGGATGATCGTGTTTTTTCGACAATACAACATCGGTATTGTTTTTTAAAATAGCACGACCGCCGCAATTTTGAATACATTTATAATACTCAGTTGTGTCCCGTATTCTATCAATGCGATGAATAAAATTATCGACCACTAGTAAATCTCGTCCTTTTTCAGATTTGATTTTATACCATTCCATTTTTAATTAAATTTGTAATAAGAATAAAGCACTTTTCAATATAGGTAGTTATCCTAAAGTTCGCTGCAAAGACGGCTGGAGGACTGAACTAAATTCACCAATCTGTACTACATGTGGATTTTATATTTTTATGTGTGGAAAAACATTTAACCATCGAACTTATATCAATAATATACCATAATAATATTATCGCTATCTTATCCGTTTTCGATAAGATCATTGTCAACTGTCGGCGAATCGGGAAAATTAAAACTTTATTAATAATTTGTCGGCGAACCGAGACGTCGGCAAACTAGACTGTCGGCGAAAAGGGAATATTTTAAAAATATTTTAAAACTGGTATATTTGTCGGCAAATTTAGTTGTCGGCGAATTGGGATTCGGCAAAGTGGGTATGAACCCATAATATTATTCGGTCACTGTTATGTCCCTATACAACATGATCGGTACTAAGAATTACACACACTAATGTTTATTTACTTTCAACACATTCACCACCCATATAAACTGAAATATAAAATGCCTAGTTTTTACTCCTTAGAATTGATTACGCTCCAGCCCCTTAATTAGGCAGGTAGGTAACTAAAACTTTATATAATGTAGGTATAGGTCATAGACTTATAAGCTAATGGACAACCCACAGAGAAAGAAAAGAGTCAGAGTTGTTTTTCGTATACAGTGATATGATATCATTGAATTCAATCCATTTTACAGTGACCCACTTGTAACCTACTGTACAGCAGAGCGACCATCACTTGCCTAACATTTTTTTTTGTATCTGAGTCATAACATTTTGAAGCAGTAAAAATCGATTTTTTGATATATTGCTAATATATGAATAGGTACACACTATCCAGTAATAAGAAGTAGTTACCGTGTATGACACCACCAATTTTGGAAAATACAACATTGCACAACAGTGCTAATAGTATAATATTAAATATACTATTGTTTATTCCTTAGTCAGTCAGTCAAGCTCAAGCAACATTGTACTAATTAATACTGAAATTTAAAATTTTTTTTAGTATTAATAGTTTGTAAGGTGGGGATTTGTATGTATGTTTTTAGTGTCAATTTGGCATACCTACTCCACAATGGTGGTAAATGTTTAAATGTTTTTGGCATTACTTAATCATTTGAATTTAACCATGAACTAAAATTATATGAAATATTAAAAATTCCACATAGAAAAAAAAACGATTTTAATTTTAACAATAAATTATACAGCTTCTTCAGTTGCTGAAAAATCTAGATAAAAAAAAGTAATACCCTACCCCTTATCTACCTCCATCCAGTATAGGCTCACTTCTAGATATACCTAATAACAAGATAGTAGGTGCACCCTAAGGATACAATGTAGCAGAATAACTTACAGTTTTAATTTATTGATCTAATATGAGCAAAAATAGATCATTGTTAGTTATCTATCATTACTTCGTAAACTAAAATAAAATTGTGAACAGTGGCGGATATTAGAAAATGTATGAATAAATAATTAACAACAATGAGTATACTATTTAATATTTATGTTTATTTCAAATATCAATAAATCATGAGTTTATTCAGCTCCCCATTTTAAGCTTATTATAGATATTGTCATGGTTAATGAATGCCAATTAATATTATTGACAGGTCTATAAATGGTCAAAAACCAAACCCACTTTCCTGAGCGTAAAATCAACTCACATTGTTCTCAAGAATAAAACATGTTTTAGGGCATTATCACTTGAAACACTTGTACTCCATACATTAAATACGGAAGCCCTGAAAAACATAAACATGATAAATTTTTCAAAGCATAAAATAGGTAGGCAGAAATATTGGGACAAATGACATTTCTCATTTTATAAGTATATATATAATAGTTTCTAGTTTAAATATTTAACTCTGCAGTAATAGTTTGTATGATATTCAATTATTTGAACCAGTAATTTAGAGTAATTACATTTACATTTATACTATAACTTCATTACATTATAAAAAAAATAGTAAAAATGAATTATTGATAATTTAAACTTGTATCAAGATAATGCTTGAATAACATTTTTAGATTCCTCGAAATGACTCCGTTAAGACATTACCCAATGTTTTATACTAACTAAATCTAAATAAAATATAAAATAATAAAACAAGTAACAACCATATTATTAAAATAATAAATGTAATGACTAATGTGGATTTAATTTAAAAGAGGACACCACACCCACAATGTGTTGTTCCTTTCTTAAAAATATATAACATAACAAATTTTATACTCACAATAATCCATTTTACTGTTATTTTTTGTATTAGACCTATTGTAAAATTTAAAAGGGGTTTATAGATATTTTAATCAAAATAATTTTCAAATAATAAAAAAATTGAATGAATTGTTTCATAATTAAAATATCAATAAAAGCCTCAAAGATACTCTGGATAATCATCTTACCTTAAATGTTACATAGGCTAATTCACTTTAATTTTAAAAATAACAGAGTAAAAGTGAATTATTGTGAACATAAAATTTGCTAAGCTTACATTTATAAGACGGAGACAACTCATGCGTCTCAATAATAATTATAAGTAACAAACCAATGATAATCATTAATTACTGCAAATATCAAATACGTCAGAAGATGACATTCACAATAATGATTCATATTTAAAATGCACGGTTTTGTAGTATGGTCACTGGTCAGTATTATTCACATTCAGCCACATGTTAATAATATTCTGCAACATAATAACCAACATCTTAAAAATGTTTGAAACCAAAATAAATAATATATGTAACAGTTAAATATATAATTTTACACAAAATATTCAAATATTTTTAATACTTTAAATTAATACATGAATTTATACTATGATCAGATATAACTTTCTGTATTTTAATTATGAAATACTATATTTTTGATTATGGAATCATTATTTAAAATAGTCATTGTATAAGATTGGAATTACAATCATTAATAACTGATTGAAAATGGCCAGTTCCAAAAAAAAATATTTACCGCACGGATTTAACCACGACGACCAAGTATTCTTGGTAAATGAGTGGCCTGTTTCAATCCAATGATATTGAAATACACACAGACGAACAAATTAAATTAATTTAATGTTTGTTTACCTAAGAATGAGTATTTTACACGAATCGCAAACGCACCGGCTTTGTTCAAATAGTCCTCGGAACATCGTACGCACCGAACAGTGTACGAAAATATCACGTTTTCGGCAAACTACGATATCGGTCGGCTGTAACGGTCAAACTAAAAAACACTTAACTAATATATAAGAGAATATAGGGACTACAAAATTAGATGGTATATATTATACTTATTTTTATTTTATTTTATTATAAATTTTTACAATGAGAATTACAATGTAATGTTGTCATAAAATTATTTGGGCTTACAATATTAATATATTTTAGTAATTTAATTAATATATTAACCTAACTGTAAAAACCTTTGACTATAAAGGCTTACATTCTAATTTTCTTAAGAAAATTTGTTAAATAACTCGACAAACAGAAATTCCAGAAATAATTGTTAATATGATTGATGTGATTATAGTGATATTGAAAAAAAAACATAGTCAATGAATCTTAAAATAATTCTAGAAAATTATTTTGTTTACATCTAAGGTAGAAAATATGAATCAATATAAATAATCTAAGAGCCCAGATAATTTAATCTTTTATGTCTAATGCCTATATATAAAATAAAATTGTAATTTGTGACACTAAGAAATTATACTTTTTAATTAAACCTAAAAAAAAAAAAAACCTATGTAGACAAATAATCTTATTAAGATTTCGTAAATATAATTTTGGCTCCTTAAAAACTTGAGCCGATTTAAATAAAAAATTGTTGACGGTCGGCGATGTGTGAGTGTACGGTTATCCGATCCGGCGGCGCGAATATACGGCGACGGCACGATAATATATACACGGTTTTTTTTAATACGGCGTGTAACGCGACGAACCACGAGATCCCGAAACTCTGACGGAAAAAGAAAAACATAATCGGGGATTAACCAAATACATTTATATATACACACATACACATACATACACACACACATACAAATAAAAACAGAATAATATTAAGGTTAATAAACATGCACACTTAAATTATTTAAATAAATATCACGTATTTAATACAAAAATCCAATATGTTTTTATTTCAAGTAAAAAGCAAAAAGTAGTATATTATAGTTTGTTTCATACTATTATTAATTTTTAATGGAAATAACAATTAAAGAAATATAAATAACAACCATTCTCAATTGTTCAATATTCAGAAATATTAAAATAAAAATTAATTTTATGTGCATATTTTTATTGACTGTGTAGTTTCAGGTACAAGACATTCAGGATATATTACCGTTTATCCATATGTATTGTTTCTGTCTTGATAACACATTACATAATACATTTTATGTTAAGAGGATGTCAGCACACAGTTTGTTATCTTTCACAGGCAAAACAGAGACAAAACGCATTTCCGCACAATAATTTTTTTTATGCTTGTAAGTAATCTTAGAGTAAAATAATCCATTACAAAAACAATAGAGAATAATATTTTGGAGAGTTTGACATATCCATTTGTCTTAATATTTCCTTAAGACAATTTAAACATAATTTAAATGTACAAGATTTTTTTTAAAGTCAAATAACATTAAAATATAAAATTGATGTCATACCCTCAAAAATATTATCCTCTATAATTTTTGTAACAGTTGATTTTACTCTAATGCTTGTTTGCATAGTCAATTTATGTTACACACAAATTGACTATACATACACACATTAGATAACTCAAAAATCATAAGAAAAACAATTTTTGGTGGAATGTTTAATCTATGTTGCGCCTGGGTCTGACAGAGAAAACAAATATTGTATTGCCATCATCTTAATATAAAATTTGCTGTTATGCGTTATCAAGACAGAAACAATACATATGGGTTATAACATCCTTTTAATGGCTTGAGAACCTGAAACTCTATAGAGTCAACTAAAATATGTACATAAAATTAATTTTTAATTTTAATATATCTAAATATTGAACCAATTAGAATCTCTTAAGAAGAATATGTTGTACATTATTTTTAATACTTTAAATTAACCTATTTTCAAATTTAAAATAAAAGGAAGAGTATTATCTAGGACACCTCAAAAAAGGTTTGATACTTTAAAATTGAAGCATGTTATAAGAGTTTTAAAATTGTGAATTTTAGGTATTAAGGCTGTTGAAAGCAAACCATTTTTAAGGAGTCGAATTTAGGTAATATACTATAGCTATGATGAGTGATATGTGACTGAGCATTAGTGTGTGTGATTTTCGCGAACGCTTAATGTAATTAAAGATAAACTACGGCTAAGTTTATAGGAAATCTGGTATATGCAAATGAGCAGTCACAGGTCACTATATTTTGCAATCAAAAAAGTTTCAACACGAATGTCAAAAAAACGGAAGTTTAATGTAGGAAATGGATTTTCGAGTTTTTGTATTGTTTAACTAGTACAGTACTAAAATAATTTTTTTTAATATTCAAAATTCACCTTTACTACAGTGTTACTAAAAAAAAAAAAATCGAAAATCCATTATCTATATAACTTATAAAATAAGGAATTCAAATAATTTTATCAAATCTAAGATAGAACTTCTGGGAGTATAATTTTTTTCTTCCGCTTATTAATCTAAATGTACGAAATAATGACAAAAAAAGACCAGCTTTCAACAGCCTCAAATCTTAATATTGAAATAATGACAAAAATCTAAATTAACATAGAATAAGTAAAGAAAGGGTTTATGTTTAAATATAATAAAAAACCCTCATTCATATTTTTTTTTAATATCTGGTGGTCCTTGTTTAGTTATAGATTTAACTTACACAAAGATAAGACAGATATTATAAAAATCTATAACTTCAATTAATGGAAGAAGGTTTATTATTTTCTGGGAATAACAATGTAGTTTAGATAATTTTGTCACAAAATAGGGTTCACTGAACTTTTTTTATAATATATAATTATTAAATCCTATAATATACTAACTTTTTATTTAAAAAAAAAACAATTAAAGCTTAAAATTAATAAAAAAAATATCTAAAAGAAAGTTTTTGAAGTGATGTGAGTGAAGCTAATTTGATGTTAATTGTTAATACAAAATTAATTTAAATGTGCATTAAAATGTTAAAAAAAATTACAAATTCATATCACCTAAAATATTATTTTGAGATCAAATTCAAAAGTATTTGTTAATATTAGTGCAAATTGTATGTTTTGTATGCAAAGACTACCTACCTCATAAACAAATAAATTATGATATAATTTTTAAAAAAAATAATATAATATTATGTTTTTTTAAATAATATGAAAAGAATTCAAAATTCATAAAAATAATTTTAGTAAACTATACTCTATTCTATTTCAGAATAAGCTGACAATTTGAAACCAATGATTTGTTTTGGATCACACATGACCTATGACTAGAGCTGAGTAATCAATTTATTAATAGTTATATTATAGTGCATATTAGCCAATTAATTTAGCTTCCAAAAAAAAAAAAATTATTAATCGATAGTAAACAATAAATTATTAATGTAATCAAAAATACATTTTGAATTATCATTGGCTTTTATCAACTTAACACTAAATGGGAACAAAAATAATTATAAAACCATATAAATATTAAAAATTAAATACACACATAATATATATTTAATTTAATGACAGCATTTGATTGTCAAAGTCAACGATTACCCAGCCCTATTTATGATAATTATTAGGCTTCTTCAACGATATCGATATTTCGATACAATATCGATATTGCTAACTTTTTTTCGGAAATTTCGATATCGATAATCTTAATATATCGATAAACGATTATCGATATATTCGATAATTGAAATATATCGATATACCCCGGCCATTGGGTATTTACTATTTGTGTTAAAAATAGCACAGGATAACACGATATAGAGATAACGCGATATCGCACACAATTAAAACGATATCGATATTCAAAATTATATCATTGAAGAAGCCTAATAATTATAGTTAAGCTTTCTGAAAGGAATGTGTCAAGTTGTTTGTTGATTTTTTTTCATGCACAAGACAGTTTATTCTTATTTTGAATAGAGTATATATTATTATAATGTATTTTAGAATGTAATTATATTAAAATATAGTCAATTTATTTGTTCACTTGGAGAAATAAATTAAAAATGATTTATTCTTATAACAGTAATCATTCCAAAATTAAAAAAGATATTTAGAATTTAAGTAGATTTAGCTAAAAATCAACTTACCGACGATCATCATACGAATCCCTAGAGAAATCATCATATGCATGAGATGAACTATAAAAATGAAATTTAATGGTATAAAAATATGGATATTATTTTGAGAATATATTATGTATATTGTAATTTTAATACTAACGATGTACGACTGCTTGACAATGGCGATCGGCGTGTGAATACATAATCTTGGTCACGCATGGTTGTTCCAATACGTGTGGATGACGATAAGTAATCGCGACTTGATGGCATTCTTGGCATTCTTCTATCCATGCCATAACCATCGGCAGCTGTTCGCATAAGACTACGATCATAGTAACGGTCATACAAGCCTTCAGTCTAAAATCAAAATTATTAATCAGCATAAATGATAAATTACTAAATATTTATAAACACTTACTTCATACATATGACCACCTAGTTCAGAGTGTGATAACATTGAATAATCTTCCATCTATAAAAGAGAAAATATATAATAGTATATTACAAATATATTAAATTGTAATTTATGAGCAGGGCTCGGGACTTAAAGCATTTGCTTATTTTTTTAGATTGACTTAAAATTTAGCAGAGTACTATAGAAGTGTATGTCATGTTACAACACATTCAATTATGAAATTTGAGTGCTTTTTTTTGCTTTTTTCAAAAAATGCTTATTTCAAGTTTTTATGATAATTATTGCTTTTTTGACCAGTTTTCATACTTTTTTATGGTTTTTTTCTACTGCAAAGTTGTTTTTGATAGAATTAAAATTAAAAATAATTTAAATAAAAAAATTTATAAAAATTTATTAAAAAATAATTTTTTTTTCAACTATTTGTAAATATTGTTTACATTTTATTTTTCAGAAAATCCATAAAATCCTCAGTCCTGAAAATGAAGTTTAATTTTTTTTATAATATAAAGATAAATTTTTATTTTTATTTTATTGTTTTTTTTTTTAATAAATATTTTTGCTTAAATTTAAGTTTTTTAAATGCTTATTTGAGTGCTTATAATGATGTTTTTAAGTGCTTATTTAAGCGCTTATTTTAATGATTTTAAGTGCTTTAAGTCCCGAGCCCTGTTTATGAGTATGAATAAAATTAACTTAAGAGTTTTACATATAACTTGCATTTTAAGTAGAACCTAACTATTTATTGTTTTTATGAACCAAAATAAATTACTTAGAATATGAACTACACTTACAAATTCAAACTCGTTTGATGTGGTCACTATACAGAATACAGGGTGCAATAAAGTGCTAATATTTTATTTTATTATTTGTGTTTCAAAAATATCGGAAGTTATCGGTGTATACAACAACTGGTAGTCTTAAATACCAACTACAGGTTCAAATCGGTTGGGGGCGGAAAAAAAATACAAGTTATCAAAAATTTGAGTTATAAAAAAAAATTGTGTGTACTTATTGAAATGCAGGGGAGAAGACATTCCTTTGAGTTATCAAAAATTCTACTTATAGACGTTCGAGTTATAGATGTTTCACTGTACCAGTAAATACCCATTATTGGAATTTACCAGTACACCAAAATTACTGCCAGATTTAAGTCATCAAACTGTATGTATTCTAATTAACAATAATTAATTTTTGAATGAATAAAAAAATATAATAAATTATTTTATACATTTAATAAAAATATTAAAAAAACAATGTTTTTATACTTGATTATTGCACCAGATAGAATATCAAGAGTATTAGAAACTTTATGTAATATAATTTCTATAATAATGGTTGTTGCACTGGTAAACAAGAAACCAAACTTTCTTTGAATAATGATGATAAAAAAGTTGACTTATTTGGTAATTGCACTGGTAACTTCAATTGAAATAAATAAATTTATCCAATTTAAAAGAATCCCTTTTAATGATATTAATTTATATTTCAGCAAAATGTTGCAAAAATGAATGAAATACACCAAGTTATTATTAATAATAACAATGATCTTATCAACTATTTTTACTAAAAGTAAAAAAAAAAAACAAATGTAAATGTAATAAGTTGTAAATGATTAAGTTTTCCCAATTGAATTTATTCAAGGTTGAAAAACTATTAAATTCATAAGAATACGATTTAGAACTAAAATCCAGGCATTCAAAACTTTACATCCCACAACTCCTTGGTATTTTTACAAAAAAAGATAATCACTACAAAAACATTTTATCAACCTCCATGTAAAAATTGGCTAGTCAAAAAACAAAATCAATTCATAAGATCATTAAGAGGACGCTACCCATACAAATGTCTTATACATGCACCACATAGCAAATTGTCGTTTACTAATTTCAACAGCGTGCTGTTAGTTTTGACACTTGAGTGAATTGACCTATGATAAAACTTTTAGGTAAGAAAATAATCTGTGCTTAATCAAAAATTAAAAATGCTCATATCTCGCTTGAAAATTAAAATATTGAATAAAAACCCAAACTAAAGCACAGATGTTATTATCTAAAAAATTGATAATAAGTCAAATCACTCTAATATCAAAACTAACAGCACACTATTGAAACTAGTGAATAAAAATTGTCAATGAAAGACGGAGACAACAAATGCATGGGTAGCATCCTCTTAAGCACTGTAAAATTGAGATATCATGAATAAATGCTAAGTAAATTGAATTAAGGCTGTTGAAGGGTGGTTTTCCATGTATTTAGACCAATGTGCAGAAAATAAATAAATATACTTCCAGAAGTCTAATTTTAATTTTGAAAAAATATTTGAATTTGTTAGCTTCTTGACTGTGTACGTACTGTAGGAAATTATTTTTTTTTTTAAGTTTTTAAGTATAGGAATTTTTTTAAAAAAAGAAATATTATTTGGTACTATACTAATTAAAAAATATAACATAGAAAAGAGAAGAAAGAATTCAAATGTTTTAAAAATTAAAATTGGGCTTTTGGTACTGGGTGAATTTTACTTCCGCTTCTTGGGACTTTCATGTTAAAATTTTTTGATTGCAAAATATAGTGACGTGTGATTCCGTAATTACATTAAGGATTTCTAAGAATTCAGGTACACTTATAATCAGTCACACATCACTCACAATGGATATAAAATATGGCCTAAAACCGACCCCTTAAAAATGGTTTGCTTTCAACAGCTTAAAGTACACTATATTGTTTCAATAATTTATTTACTTGGTGAGAAATTATTTTGACAAGTGTATAAATGTCCATTATAATATTATAACTGTTGTGCTGGGACATTAAAATTTTTTTTTTATTATATTATATTATAAATATATCTACATATTATTGAATGTAGATGTGTTTATTTAATTATAATATTATGCTTAGAAAACAGAAATATTTAATCTCCTATGCTGTGACTCCCTAGCCCAACACTAATTATACCATGTGGAACTGTGAAATAGTATAAATACCTCTGAATTAATCTTTGAATTTTATGAGTCAATTTGATATAATTTTATACCGGTAAAGATTATTTTTCGAACGATAAATTAAAACTAAATCCAAGTTAGTTATTTGAACTTTCAATTATTTTTTCCAAATCAAAAAATCTTTTTCTAAATGCTAGTTATACATACTCACAAGTTTTAAGTTGAAGAAAATGTAAATTTGAGCCAAAATTAAAACATTATTATTTAACAGTACCAGTTTATGTATTACTTATTACTTACTCTTGTCATATCAGTTTTTAAGCCAGTACCATAAGAACCAAGAATGCGATCACGAACAAATGAAGGAGGAGGTGGTGGTGGATAAAGCAAGGCACGTGGTGGTGGAAGCGGTGGTAAAGCATCTCTTCCATATCCATACCTAAAAAAATACCAGTTTTAAATACAAATTTCTGTTTTTTTAAATTATGGCTACGAGTTAAAGAACAATGTGCGAAATAAGTTGTAAGGCTCACCCTTCACGACTGCACTCCCGAGACCAATGGCCACCCTTGCCGCACCTGAACAAAATGTCCCATTTCATTTTTAATGAAATTAATTTTATTTTTATTTTATAAATCAAACAAAACATGTGACTAGCAAGTTACTTCTAAACACATTTTCTTTAAACTAAATAAATAAACAGTATATACCTATAACACTGCTCTGGCATGCCCATTCCAGGTCTCTGACGAACCCGGCTATTTGAAATTTGCACCTTGATTGGTTGACCATCCAACATGTGTCCGTTTAAATCTTTTATGAGTCTGCTTACATCAGTTGAATCAATATGCTAAAGTTAAATAAAAGTCAATAAAAAAGTGGTACTGGGATATTGACCCTGCAATTTTTTTCAAATTGGTGTAACTATTTTTCTGGATTTCAAATGAAGACGGCAGTAACTGCATTTTATTGTATAGAACGTCTTTGATTAATTTATGCTACAATCAGTTTTGTTGGAACTCCAGAAAAGAAGTTACAACAAAAAGAAAAAAAAAGAGGGAATGTGAAAAGTATAGATAAAACCTTTTAGTTGTGGGGTCAAATTATGTAACAACTAACAATACAAATTTTTAAACATGTTAGAATTAATAAAATATAATTAATTTATATGAGCAAATAGGTAAAACTGCATATATGTATCTAATACATTGAAAAATGAAGAATAAATTTACAAAAAATATAAATATACATTTAATAGATTAACACTTACCACAAAACCATAAGTTCTAACAATGTCACATTCAACAACAGTACCATATCTTCCAAATAATTCTCGTACTTCATTGGCCTTTGTTGTTTCAGAAAGATTACCAACAAAAATTTTTGTAGTTGGGGTATTGGGACCACGGCGACTAGTGGCAGCTTCTACTTTCATGGCTAAATCATTTACCATTGAACCATTCAAAGCTTTGATAGCTGCACGGCCAGTGGTATCATCGTCCATATGCTAAATTGGTAAATTCAAATTTTTGGATGAATAAAATATAAGTGTATACTTACTATGTATTTGTATGCAAATTGATTATTTGTAATTTTACTAAGTTCCAATACCATAATACATTACAACTATGTATTCATTTTTAAATACTTACAACAAAGCCAAAATTTTTCATTACATCACATTCAACAACTTTGCCATACTTCTCAAACAGTGGTCTGATATCACTAGATGTGGTCTTTTCAGAAAGATTTCCAATGAAAATCTTAAAAGTCCGTACACTGCTGTTGTTAAAACTTGTGTTACTTTCAGTATCGGACGGCATTTTTTCTTTTACTGTAAAATATAATATTTTAAATATTTATTAAAAAATGTTATTAGCAATTAGCATATAGTGTGGTTCACACACTATCGAATATTTCAGCTGGATGACCTAGAATTGAAATGTGGTTTTTCAGGAAGTTAAAGGAGTACCAATATACACATTGAGAAAATTTTAAATGTTAAGAGGACGTAACCACATAACATGGCCATATGTTGTTTCTGTCTTATAAGTGCGTAATATATTAAATATACACTCAGCAGATTACATTTAGCTTCGTTAGTTAAAATATTTGAGTGAATTGGCCTATTATGAAAATGTATGGTAAAAACATTATCTGCATTCATGTGTTTTTTTCCAATAATCCAGGTTGTTTAAAGTAAGTTATACAATTTATGTTATACCTATTATAAATACGATTTTTTTTTACCATCAAGTTTCATTATAGGTCATAATGGGTCGATTCACTCTAATTTTTAAAATAACTAAGCTAAACATGATCTGTTGAACATAAATTTTGCTGTGTTACGCACAGAGACTGCAAATGCTTGTCTTACGTTCTCCTTAACCCTTTGGTACGGGAATTCAGAACACAATTTGCAACTTTTTTTTAAAAATAGTACCATTAATAGTACATAATGCTTACAGATTTAGACAATTTTCTGAAAATAATTGTTGTATTAAAATGTTTTTTAGATTCTGAGTGAAACAATGAATGTATTGTTTTACAATGTGTTTTTTTTTTTTTTTGTGTGTCTGTCAACACCTTTTAGGACAGTACAAATGCTTAGATTTTCTTCAACAGTATCTTGTTCAATGGGAAAGTGAATCTAAATAGTACTTTTGGGAGGCCAAAATTTGAAATTTCCAATAGTCTTCAAAAGCGCCCAGAAAAACAAAATAAAAATAAGGAAAAACCTTTATCAAAAAAAAAGTCTATAAGAAAGTCAAATTAAATTTTAATGAGCGTTTGAAATTCAAATTTTTACAACATTGGATATTCACTTGATTTATAGCGATTTTCTTATTTTGTTGTAATTTAAAAACAAATAACTGTAATTACATGAAAATTTCACTAAATGTTTATTTTATGAATTCTTATACTTGATAAAATTTTCAAAATGTTTGGAGCTGTTTACGGAAAATATCATATTTCAATTATTTTTTTCCTATGAATATCAATTAAGTTTCATCTGTTGGGCCAAAAAGTGTAAAAATTTAATACAAGGCTCCTGATTCATTGTTACAATAGCAGTTGAAAAATATTCAAAATACACAGGAACAATTTTTTTTATAAGCATTTAAAGTTCGAATTTTGACAAAATGTATCAAATTTAAAAATTATCAATTATTTTGTAGTTAAAAATCTGTAAAATGTTCAACTTCTATAGCTAAGGATTAAAAATTTAAAACAAGATTTCATGTAAATAGGTTATATATAAATTACTTTATTCACCTTAATATCATAAATAAACTATGTAATATCATAGGTTGACTGACTGTTTCCGCTCAGAATCGTTTTTCTTATAAAATGATACTATATCATTGAATTCAAATTTAACACCATCCATTACAGTGACCCACTTGTTACCTACTATACAGCAGAGCGAATTTTTACTAATTGGTACCTAGTTGAATTTATGAATAATCTTATAATATTTTTTTTTATTAATATGTTTTCTTAGTTTCTGTAATTTAATCTAGTTTTACAGATTGTTACTTGCAAGATAAGATAAAAAAAATAGTTTATATAGTTACCTAGATACGGTTAATGGAAATTATAAATTTGTTTATTTAATAAATATTAGTGATTGATTACATTGTATCTATGTACAAATAGTAATTTAACAATATTATCATTTATCACAATAATATAGTTTCTGCTACCTCTTAACTTTATTAACTTAGGAAATAAAGAATAACCTTCACTAAAATGGTTTTTAAAAAAAATCATTGCTTTTTATAAAAAATGAAATTATAATGCATATTATATGCACCTCGAAATAGTTAAACATTTGAAAATTTCTCAATATTAAGTGTATTATTATACTTACGCATTTTCTATTAGGTACCTACTTTTCAACAATCCCAAATCATCCAGCTGAAATATTTAGTTATACTCTTAATATTAAAATAGTTAAGAAAACAAGATATTCAATAAGATGGAAACTCAGATGCTAATAATATTGCTTAAAATATTGAATTGTCTCATTAGGCAATAAGATTTGTAAGGAGCAGAAAGTAGAGTTAACAGATGAATAATTATGTTAAGCTAGTTAATTAATCATATAGATTTCATTTTTACCAGAGTATGAAATATGTAAGTAGGTACCGGTGTTAAGTTTAATATTTTATACAAAAAATTTGTTTTCAATAGTATTGTAGTAGGTAATCAGTTTTGTTAAAAGTTTTAAACAGACAGGTGAGATGGGTGTATACATAGCATGTCTACATAAACATAACTAGAGAAAGGGGTTCAGGGGTTTAGGTAATACCTAATAATTGTTTTTATCTGGTAGTAATTTAATACTGATTGTTGATGTCCCCAGGTGTAAACGTATTTGTGACTAGGTAGTTTTTTAATTCACAATATTTTTATTTTTAAATTTTCATTATATTTTAGAGGAGAGACATAAATAATATAGAGCCTAATATAGATATTACAAATGTGATTATAGTTGTATTACAAACCGAGTATAAAGGAAAAAAATTAGAGAAATGTTTTGTCCATTACAAAAATATGTATACCCAGGCACTAAAGTAAAATAATGTTACTTAACTGCAGAATGTATCATCAATATCATTGATAGGTAGTACCAATATAGGTAAATAAAATATTAAGGTACAGCTAAGTATTTTTAAGTAGTAGGTACTAACTCACTTTAATATTTACTAACACATCTATATTTTACATATGTATTAGCCTAAGTATATTCAATAAATTTGTGAAATTTACATATTTCATTATGTTTTTATGTAATATTCATATAAATTAAGTGTTAAAACTGTGTTTGGGAGACTGTCTCCATGGGCGTCATTGGATTGCATCCAGTTTCAACCTTTTATACCTTTCCAGTGTTTCGATTGTGTCCTACATAATAATATATAAGCATTCAATTACACTATGTTACACATGATTTTAGTAATGAATATATTCGTAGTTTTAGGATCGATAGATTGGGAAATTAATAATCATAATTACCTAGTAATTATTTTGTCAGTGTTATTCAAAAATTAATAATACAAAAATAAATAAAAATCAATCCAAATAGGTATATAGGTAGAATTATATAATTTAAAAATTGCATATTTTTGTCATTTTAAAAAGGAGTTTTTAACTTTTGAGTGAAATAGTTTTAAGGTATTGATAATTTTTTATTTTAAGTTGAAATATACAATCTATATCAGATGACATAATAAGTATATATGATAAGAGACAGATAACACGAGTATACAAAAAATAAAAGTGGGTAAAGAAGACACCCAATGATGATTTTTAAGTTGTTAGATAATTAATATATATATATATTTTTTTTTTTTAGATTGAAATTTTTAACAGGTCTCTGCACCATTTAAGTTTTAAATGGCTAGGAGGGATGCCGAGATTGAGAGGGAGGAAAGGTTTTTAATTAATGGATTTGAGTTGGAGGAAAGACGGTTGTGGAATCTTTTGTAAAAATGTTTTGCTTCCTCATGGATAGTTTTTATTTTTAGGTCTGTGTAGAGAGTAAGGTCAGATATGTATGGGGGAGCATTTAAGAATTTTCTTAGAGCAACATTTTGGAATGATTGAATTTTATTTAAGTATATCTTTTTTGCACTTCTCCATAGCTGAATCCCGTACGTCCAGATTGGTTTTAGTAGTGTCTTGTAGATGAGGAGTTTGATATTAGGGGAGGTGTTTGGAGACTAAAGGTTTGAGGATACGAAAACGGTTGTCGAGTGATAGTCTTTTTTCTCTTATATGATGGGCCCATGTTAGCCTTTTATCTAATGTAAGACAAAGGTATTTAACTGTAGGAGAGGATGGGATTGCATCACCGTACAGAGTTGCCTCGGGGGAAAGAGCTGGTCTAAGCGTAAATGTGGTGTGAATAGACTTGCTATGGTTTAATTTAAATCTCCATTTGGTATACCAATTTTCCATAAGGTCTAGGTGAGTTTAAAGGTTTTCAGATGCTATGAGTGGATTGTCATTCATTAAATCGTATTACCTTGTCGTCGGCATAGTCTGCGACTGATGTATTTAGTGTAATTGATTGATCTGTGGTGAATATATTATAGAGAATGGGGGATATTATAAGGTATTTTAAGGGCCGAAGTGGTTAATTTTATTTTTTAAGCTGTTTATTAATAAGTTCTTGTTTTTTAAAATATTTTGCTCTGAGTTATAGCCATACCATAAGTTTAAATTAAATTGCTACGTAATGATAATGACATTAATCGATTAAAGTACAGGTCATGAGATAAAATGTTCATAAACTCATGAAGTAAAAATCAATTTGTGTTTAAATAGATCTGCACAACTACTATACGATACGACGCAATCGAAACACAGAAAAGACCGATAAAGCAATCAAAGGTCTCCAAACCTTATTTTGCAATTAAAATGTCAAGATTCTAATCTCCCCCTCCCCATAGCCTAAAGGCCAAGTTAGCACGATGCATGTCTACCTATTCAAACAAGTTAGTACTCAGTAAATCAAAAAGTTGCTCATTGTAAAATAGGTATGATATACCTACAGATAGATAATACTTAAAATGTTATCTATCAATATAACACAATAGCAATACCCATAGTAGGTACACCTGTACACATAAATTTCCGATAAAAATTTGAGAATTATTTGAAACATTAGTGTTTGGAAATTAACCAACACTTTGAAGTAATACTTCAACAATTCGAGCAAAACTACAAATATTTTATGGAAATCAAGTGAATAAAAAGTAAAAACTACATGAAAGGTTTGATGACTCACTATTTACAGATGGGAGCGATATCACAACATACACGGACACAAAGACTTATTCATCAAAATTAGGATTCCAAAGATCGAATTCTGCCATCAACTGAAAACGATTCTTACACACAGACGTGATCTGTTGACGAATTACGAATGCCAAGACGAAACGGAGACCGTGTTGAGCTTTAGACCAGAGGCTCCGAGAGGAATTTACCGAGAAACGCCAACAATGGCACACTTAAGAACGCAAGTACATTATTATCGTAACTCCGTTAACAATCGCGCGCGTGGGACAATGCGGAGTCGCGGAGACCCGGCGGCTTATAATACTGACCGGCTGTCTCCTCGGCAACGGTGTCCTCTTCAGTGGTACAGTCAACCAATTGTCTGCCCCGTTTGTGGTCAAAATCTCGCATTTCTCGTCTACACTGTGATGTGGATCGATTGCTGTCGTTTTCGTTATTTACAGTATTGTCGTGTGCGTTCAAGACAACAAGGGCCACCACGTCATACACTCACCACACACGGACGATACACGACGGAATGCAGCAGCAACAGCAGCACCAGCACCAGCAGCAAACAGCAGCGGAATCGGCGGCGTCAGTCGATCGGTGGCTGTACCGTAGTTGTTGCGTTGTGCACAAGGCGGCCAAGTCGAGTTTACGTTACGTGCCGAAGCGTCTGGACGGCAAGAAATTAATAATGAAATGTACGAACAATTCACGAGCAAAAAAAAAAAAAAATGTCGAGTCGTCAACGCACGAACAGTACACAAGAGAAGGCGGCGGCGGTGGTTGGTCTGGTGGGAGTCGGAGAGAACCAATTCTCGGATAAAACGTCAGTGTTGAGTGTACGAAATAGCTGAGCTAAACGTGTGTGTGTAATAAAAGTGCTTGTGTACACTGTAAATTGTGTACATTTGTATAAATTAGTGTAACTACTGTAACTGTGTGAGTGACGCCGTGACGGTGTTGTTGGTGCATGGAGCGCAATGAATCGCCGACGCCGCCGGGAGAGGGAGCAATTGCGCGACGTCTTTGTCTCCTCATGGAACAGCCGAACGCTTACCGCCGTCGGTTGTTTCTTCCATGATTAAATATGCTCTCAAAATAATATTATTATGTCATAGACGATAAAATGAATAAAATTGTTATTTATTATTATCCATCAATCCATTATCATGAAATAATTGTTAAAACAACGAACTAAATTAACTTAGTTCATGGATAAGACTCAATAACCGATAGCCCAACTTGAAATTCTATTGCGCGTGTGCGTAGTAATTGAGTAATAGTCGAACAGCGCACTCTGCACGTGGGCCGCCCATGCTCCGTTTATTAGGTCTATGTATTGTGCATACTAAATACTTTTATTTTATTTTTTTAAATTATTTTCCTCATTTTTCATAGAGTAATAGAGTTGACGCCTAACCAAAACGTTGACAAATTGTATTGTAAGCAGCTATTCTTTCAGTTAATGATACCACCAATTGATCAATTACTGAAATAAAACTTTCTGATCTAAATTTTTCTTTTGGTGATAACTGAGTTGCGGCTGTTTGATTATTATTTAACGAATTGAGCCTCACATTTTTTTTCCGATAACGAATTGGCGCATAATCTTTTAATCCTGACATTTGTTTTGCTTTTTCTTCGTACTCTTCATATTTATTTCGTATTTCTTGAACAAATGATAAAAGAGAATTTAGGGCATTTACAGCAGTTTGAAGAACTATTTTCGGGTCTTGTAAAAGATGGCTAGTTAAATCAAACCTCTCTAAAATGTCATTCCAAAAAATATGTGTTTATTTATAACTGTTTTTAATTAAAATATCTACAAGTCTACAATATAATAATAACATAATAACATAATAATCGATTTTAAATTCACATTTGTAAGCAAGCTACTCACTTCTATAAATTCATTAGTTATTAAATATTAATAATAACATTTATTTATAAATTTATGACAATATCAATGATTGAATATTTTTATTCATGTTGTGATTTAAATCCGTTTTGAAAATGTTATATTGTGTTTTATACTTGGATGTAAAAAAAAAACATTTAGTGGGGGCCCTCAATTTGTGGAGGCCCGGGGCCTGGGTCCCCCTGGGTCCCCCCCTAAATCCGGCCCTGTATGTAGGTAATAACTAATAGCCAATAGGTAATAGATAGGTACTTCGTACTTACTTAGTTTTACATCTATTTAAATTAATATTCAATTTGGGGCACTTGCAGGGCTAGCATTCGCACACATTATTATTGGTAAGTAATGTTTTTTTTCCCAAAATATTTTTCTTATTTTGTTATAATTTTTTATTTATGATTATTCCAACCCGATTTTAAAGACAAGTCAAAAATCTTTAATATATATTTATATTGCTTTAAAATCTACAACAAATGGGGACGCCCATAGCTATAACTATTAAAATTGAAAATGTAATACATTTTTAACTACAAAATAATTGAACATTTCTTAAACATTGTCAAAATTTGAATTTTAGGCGCTTATAAAAAATAATCGTGTTAATGTATTTTTTTATATATTTAAATCATTATAATAAATTAAGAACTACTTATGTGGGACCTTGTATTACATTTTTAAGCTTTTTTTACCAAGCCCAAAAAGTTATGTCAACACTTTTAAAATATTTTTTAAATGCCCGTAAATAGATTAAAATTCGTCTAAATATTTTGAAATAGGAAAGATATTTAGAGGTGGCTCAAGCCCCAACACATTTTTTTTTAAATTATAATTTATAGGTACATACTTTTAAGAATGGTATACTATTATTTATTGAGAGGGATTTGAGTGGTTTTTGGGGCGGAGCCCCCTCAAGCCCCCTCCCTATTTGCTCCACCGTATGTAAGTATAGAAAATGATAATTTAAGTAAAAGATGCTAGAATACATATTTTTCAAATAATCATAAGTAACAAAACTATTAAAAATATATGAAAATTAAAAAGTGTATGAATTTTAGAAAATAGGTACCCTACAAAATAATTTATACATTTTCATGATTTGAATGGATTATGTAAAAATTTGAAATTGTGATTAGTGATTATATATTTTTGATATTTTTTAATTGCGGTGTGAAAAACTTATCAGGATCCTTGTATTAAATGTACAAGCTTTTTATTCAAAAACAAATATGATATCAATATATTATACATTCATCCAACAATCAACATACACAAAACGAAAAATTACATCAATGTAAAACTATTGCATTTACATATATTATATTCATCGCTCCGCTCATAATCTAAAATTAATTACTTATTAACTATCCGTCTAAAATTGGAATAGCTTCCAGAGTTCTAACATAGTTACACTTCCGGTTTAAAATATATTACACATAATATTTAATATCATTTATAAGAACATGACATTTATTTTCAATATTTATCGATGATAAATACAATGTAGATTGTAGGTAATACTTATATGTCATAAAATATAATTGATAATTTTTTTTATTGATCCTTAAGCTCGGCATCTATGACCATTAGCTGTTTGTAAGGTTGTATTGTGGTGGTGATAGGGTTTGGAACGGTGAGTTTTTACACGTGACTACGTGAGTGTTTGTGTTTGGCAGAATTTTTAAGTGGGCACCTGTAGGTATGCGCCCGGATGGCATGTGTGGATATGGCGGATGGCCTTTCTCTCTGGACACTGTGACTGCCCGAAGAAAAAAGCCGCCCGTAGCCCGGGATTGAACCGGCGTCGGTGCGCGTCCTTAGTCCGCTCGGCCACTCCATCCCCCAATTGACAATTTAAATATACACAAAGGAAGTAAATAACGGAAAATAAGTGCTGCGTGAATAACTTACGTCTTTGACAAATCTCCGTTATTATAATATTCCGTTATATAATTTTATCAAGAAAGATTCTAGTTAGTGGTTTTCAATACCTACAAACTGCGTATAAATGTTTAATGATTGGAATTTGTTTTTTTAAAACCCGTAGTCTGACAACATTCTCGCATAATATTAATAATATTTTAATAAATATTTTATGTACCTATCCTGTAGAAATATTTGCTGAAATATATCCAAAATAAAAATAAAACCAGTGGTATAGTTATGGAGGGGGGGAAGTCCTTAAAATTGAGTTTAGAGTACGACACACTTTGTGTAGTACCAAAAGTGTACTACGAAATTTATAAGTGTGTTATTGTAATAAATTAAACCTTTATAATAATATATTAATATTATTTATAATTATAATTTTATATCTTCACATTTTTTTTTTTTAGAATAGAAATTATCCGAGTATTTACACTTTTATTTTAAGTAAACCAATTATAAAATCTATAACGGTATAGATAGTATAAAAAACCAATTAGTACAATTCAAAGGTAGTATCGTGGTGTACAAGAATAGGTACAGAAGACATGGTTAATACAATAGTACAAAATGTAACGTTTAAACAAATGCGTACAACTGTACAAGACAATTACATAATAATATTATAAAGGTGTAAAGATAATATAAGAAATCAATAGTTACAATTGCAATGGCACGTGGCGGCACTATGTACTTACGAAAAGTTTTAGTGCAGCAAACGGCGTGCATTGACGGGACGACAGACGGGCGAACGTCCGCAGTGACGATATTAAAAAAGAAAAACGAAGTCGGCCGAACATTGACGACAGGCCACAGGCGGGCCCGAACGACGGTGTAGGATCATAGATAATAAAGATATCTTTATTATCTATGTGCAGGATACGGCAAAATCAGCTGGTGCAGGTAGCCAGGCGGCCCATCGCGTCTGTGACCTGCTGGTAACACGGCCGCGACCACGGTACCTCGGCGAACGTCATTCGATGTCGACAAAGCTCCCACAGAAACATATTCTGCGAGCCGCGTTCACCAGACACCTTACGACGAATCGCTTGGACCTTTTCCACGCGGATTTTCGCCTCGGCTGCGCAGGTGCCTGCGGGAGTTCATCCGGGGAGACTTCCGACGAGGCGTTCGATCGTCTTCGGTTTTCCGTACAGAGGTGATTCCACTGTCATCTCCGGGCACGACTAGAAGGGTTTCTGTCGTAAACTCGGCAGTCCGGCGGCCACGGATTTCCTTCGACCGTCAACGGCAAGGTCCAACGCGTCAATAGTGCATAGGACACGACTATTTTGTTCCTCGGTGGATGCTGCAATCGTCGAAACGGCCATCTTGCAGCAGTGCACGGTCGAATCCAAATCCAACTCCGGAGACGACCTGAACAGTTTTCCGAGTCCGTCATGACGTGATGAGGGTAATGGCGCCCTGATCCTCCGATCGACGGCTAAATCTAGCACGTCGATGACAGATGGAAGTCCGGTCCTGGACCTCTTCCACTCGGATTTTCGCCGCGGCTGCTCAGGTGTCTGCGGGAGTTCATCCGGCGAGATTTCGAGACTTCCGACGAGGCGTTCGATCGTCTTCGATTTGCCGTACAGAGGCGATTTCACTGTCATCTCCGGGCACGACCGGAAGGGTTCCCGGTGCAAACTTGGCAGTCCGGCGGCCACGGATATCCTTCGACCGTCAACGGCAAGGTCCAACGCGTCGATAGTGCATAGGACACGACTATTTTGTTCTTCGGTTGATGCTGCAATCGTCGAAACAGCCATCTTGCAGCAGTGCACGGCCGAATCCAAATCCAAATCCAACTCCGGAGACGACCTGAACAGTTTTCCGAGTCCGTCATGACGTGATGAGGGTAATGGCGCCGTGAGCCTCCGATCGACGGCTAAATCTAGCACGTCGATGACAGATCGAAGTCCGGTACAGCATTCGTCCGACCGACGGCTTGTAACTTCCATCGCGTTGTTTACGGCCATTTCCAACAACTCTTGACAATGCTACTGTGACGTATTGAAAATGTCCAAACGGGTTTTCAAGGAACGTTATTGAGAGACTTGTCTCGTAGAACAGCGCTAAACAGTTTATAACGGTTTTCAACAAATTATTGGTCACCCACAAACAACAATCAATAGTATTGTTATTTTTCTGGTTTACATTGTGGCCAGTATACTAGTTGGCTTTCAGTCAGCTTGGAAATAGCAAATAGTCACAATTAAATCATAATTTAACAACAATTTTTATAAATATAAACCTACGAACAAGATAATGTCTTTAGGATTCTACTGGTTTCGCCGCAATCGGAATCATATCACATACTATGACATGAGTACATGACTGAGACGAATGAAGTTTAGATTTCAAATCTATAACAATTTTGTACACAGTTATAACGATTATTAGTTCTAGATTTAGGATCATATTTACGAGAGAGTTTTACAGAATATAATATTGTTAATTTTAAATACGCCTCTATCAAATCATGTTGTCTTGGGGTGGTCTTGTTTGGTATATAAAAATATATTGTCGAGTTCATTGTGACTTATTAATTTAAAAACTTCAGAAAAATCAATAAAAAATTAAAAAAAAAAAAAATAAAGCACAAATTGTAAAATCAATACATTCATCGCTCCACTCAGAATCTAAAACTATTCGTTCAAATTTCGAATTAAATATAATATCAACCTCAAAAAAAAAAAAATAAATACCTATCCACTAAATAATTTACAGTAGGTAAAAAAAGCGGTAAACGGAAAACTGGTCTTTATAAACGTGGAATACTGGTACGGTCCACAGTAGTCAAGGTATCCCAAATTTTTTTGAAAAAAAAAAAATAAAATATAAACGATTATTTTTAGTTTTATTTTACCGATGATCGGTGGGAAACCACGAGTGACTGCGAGTAAAAATAATACGATAACCAGGGGCGATTTTACAGGGGGGTGTGGGGGGGTTTGACACCCCCCGAATGTCGGCAATTATAAATACAAGTCGGCAATTTTAAGAAATTAAAAAATCCAACTTTTTATAGATTCTGAGCGGAGCAATGAATGTATTAATTTATTGTACAATGTGTTTTTTTTTGCGGCTGTCATCACCTTTTAGGACACTAAAAATGCTTAGATTTTCTTCAACAGTCCAATCTTTACTGATAAGAAAGTGAATCTAGTTTGTAGGTACTTGGGGGGGTCAAAAGTATAAAATTCCAAATAGTTTTTAAAAGCGCCGGGGAAACCAAAAAAAAAATTAAGGAAAACCGGGAATGTTTACACAAAATTGTTTTTCTACAAAATCGATATTGGTTTTTGGTATAACTCTAAAACAAAGTAACGTAGATACATGAATTTTTCCCTAGTTGTTTTCAGCATTTTTACATGATAACATTTTCAAAATATTTTGATTTATTTTGAACTGTTTAGGGACATTTTCATTTTTCATTTTTTTTTAGTTTTTTTTCTAGAAATATCAATAAAATTTTATTTGTTGGTTAAAAAAACTTGAAAATTTAATAGAAGGCTCCTAGTATATTGTTTCAAAAGCAGATGAAAAATATTAAAAATCGTTAGTCACAGTTTTTTTTATAAGCATTTAAAGTTCAAAAAATTGACAAAATATGGAAAAATCTCGAAAATTAGCGAATTATTTTGAGTTAAGAATTCGTAAAAATTTTTCTTTTTAAATCTAAGATTTGAAAATGTAATACAAGATTACTCATAAGTTTGTCTACCTTTATCAATAAAAAAATCTCTACCGGAAAGTCAAATTAAATTTTATGAGCGTTTGAAATTCAAATTTTTACAACATTGAATGTTCACTCGATTTCTCATGTAGCGATTTCCTTATTTTGTTGTAATGCAAAAACGAATAACTGTAGATACATGAAAATGTCACTAAATGTTTATATTAGCATTTATTATACCCAATACAGTTTTGAAAATATTTTGAATCTTTTTGGGCTGTTTACGGACATTTTAAGTTTTCAATTTTTTTAGTTTTTTTTTCTATAAATATCAATAAAGTTTTTTCTGTTGGGCCAAAAAGTGTAAAAATTTAATCCAAGGCTCCTGATATATTGTTACAGTAGCAGTTGAAAAATATTAAAAATACATAGGCACAATTTTTTTTATAAGCATTTAAACATCGAATTTTGACAAAATGTATCAAAATCTCGAAAGTTTTCAATCATTGTAATTAATAAATTATAAAATGTCCAGTTTTTATAGCTAAAGATTGCAAATTTAAAACAAAGGTTCTCATAAATAGTTCATACTGAAACCAAAAAATCTAAAAAAATAAATGAACACAGTTATTTTTTACAGACATTATAAATTCAAATTTGGACGAAATTACATATTAAAAAACCTAGAATAACTATTTTAGTTATTTTGTTGTGATTGAATAATATTATTCGTGGGTACTTGAAACTTCTACTTGTATCACGGTTTTTGTTGATGTATAACGCGTTATAAGTACCTAATGGATATTGTGATATGATTAATTTGGAATTTATTATAGGTACCTATTAAAGGTCAATTTTTTGTTTTACACCATAGATATGTATATAATATGTCTTATACATAGACCGACATACCGTCTCCGCTCAGAATCGTTTTTCTTATACAATGATATTATATCGTTGAATTCAAATTTAATATCATCTATTATACAGTGACCCACTTGTAACCTACTGTACAAAAGAGCGACACCCACTTGCCCACCTTTTTTTTTTAGTTTGTTTTTCTTTGAATGTCAATAAAATGTTATTTTTTGGGTAAAAAAAGCTTGATTTAATACAAAGATCCTAATATATTGGTTCACAGACAGATTTAAAAACGATTTTGTAGTTAAACCGTATGAATTAATATTCAACTTTTATAGCTATATAAGGTTTGAAAATTTAAAACAAGGTTGCACGTAAGTATTCTGTAACCAAAAAATCTCAAAAATATAAGTTTTAATTTCATCTTTGAAAGCAGAATATTTAGATACAGTATTTCGATACATAAAAGTAAAATTTAGGAGTTTAGGGTAGGTTGGGTTAGTAACCTATTTTAATAATATTCTTATAAATTTGCTGTACATTTATGAAGAAAGTATGCATTTATGTTCTTAAAATATTATTATATGCGTTTCAAATAAAACCCATAAAATATGATAAATAAAAATAGTATTTTTTGATTCAGTGTAATATAATGAATCAAATTTTTTCTTGGTCAGCATTAAAATGAATAAATAGAAAAATGCAATTTCATAACTATTTGATCCCTATAATTTATTACAATAGGAAAAAGTAATTATTATAACATTAAGTATACAGTCGGCAGATTTATCATTGAAAGTCGGCAATATTCACTCCAAACCCCCCTAAAAATAAACTCTAGGATCGCCCCTGACGATAACGATAAGATACAATATAATAGATCAATAAAAATGTTATGAACTACAATATACAGCAAATTCTCAATGGTACATCATTCGCAAATAGTGGATTGAGTGTGTTCTATTTTTCACTTAAAAATTATACATGATACGCGTATAATTGTATAAAGGAAAAATCTGTAGGAACACGAGAAACCCCAAGTCAAATATTGTCGACTATATAGTGCACAACATTCCAAGTTGGACAATAATTATTTTATTATTTTAAAATTTTAAAATTTACATCGTTGTAGTTTTATGATTGTATGTGTACATAGGATACAGCTGTTTTATAAATATCAATAAAAATGTAATTATTTTATTTGTTGGGGTAAAAAAGGGTGAAAATTGAATGCAAGACTCCTGATATATTGTTACAATAGCAGTTGAAAAACATTGAAAATACAAAGGCACAACTTTTTTTTTTATAAGCATTTAAAGTTCGAATTTCGACAAAATGTATCAAATTTAAAATTTAATAATTATTTTTAGTTAAAAATGTATAAAATGTTCAACTTTTATAGCTAATATAGGTTATATATAAATTACTTAATTCACAATAATATCATCAAATATATACTTAGTAATATCATAGGCTGACTGACCGTTTTCGCTCAGAATCGTTTTTCTTATACAATGATATTATATTATTGAATTAAAATTTAACACCATCCATTACAGTAACCTACTGTACAGCAGAGCGACATCCACTTGCCCACCTTTTTTTACTGTATGCGGTTTATCGAGTTATGGACCTTCCAAATTTTCATTTTATAACAATTAAGTATAAACAAATGTGTATCGCACACAAACGGTGTAAAATGTGCGGTTATGATTGATAAGTGTGCGGTTTTGAACGACGCCCGATTAAACCTATTTACTTATTACAATAAGTAAAACATTGATTTGTTCTAACACATAAAATACTTACACATAATTACAAAAATGTCAGTTTGAGATTAAATATGCACTATATTCAGAGTACCTACCTACCTAACTATAATAACTATATATAATTCAGATACCTAAACATATTTGATCATGTATTTGATTTATCTTGTGTGCAAACAAAGTTGCAAAATCAATTAAATCCGGTCTTTAGTAAATTTTAACTTATATAACAAAAGACTGGGTTAATCCATTTTAAATTGAAAAAATGCATGAAAACATGCACTAAAAAAAGTCAAAATATGCAATAATAAAACGCAAAACATGCGTAATAAAATTAAAGTTTTTTTTTGATTTTATATTTTATTCTAATTTTGTAGTGTTAATTATTTATTTATTTTATTAAAATATGATACTGCGCAGATATGCAGAACAAAAATGTAGGTATTTTGTAAGTTAACTTTTAATTATTTATACATTGCAAACCAATCAAATAACATTTTGATACAAGTATACATACGACAAATTTAATTCTTTGAAACGTAAAACATTTGATATATAAACATATTACCTATGGTATAACCTTCTTTTTTATCAACACATTTTTGGACCGCTGGTGTGTACATGTGTATGAATTTTTTTTAAATATATAAGAATTTACATATCATGCACT